TAATAAAAAAATGGATGATCTAATTGAGGAGAATCTCCCATTTTTCATTTTTCACATTTGATCTATTACAGCACCAGCTGGTTTATAAGTAAATCATTTATTCACATCAGGTGCCTGCTTTCTTAGTTTCGGCTCACCATGTCATTTATAGTCTCGAACCACAGATTTTAAAATAACTTTCAAGTAGTTTGGATAGGACAGCCTCCTACGCTTCATCTTCATGGTTTCCTTCTCATTGGAAAGATGAGGTTTTGCTGATACTGATGGTTTCAGTTTTGGTAAATTCGAGTTTTTACCAGCCTTGTTTATCTGTCTGTTCTGCGGTTTCTTAGGGGTAATGAACTGAGTAGGGAGGCGGCTTTCCCATGGACGAACAGCGATCCAGCTATCCAGCTATCCACCCAGCTCCAACCCCAATTAGCTTTAGCAAGCTCGTAATTGCCAATCCATTATTGTTAGAGTTGGGAGCTCTCCAGTGCAAATCACGCATATCCCATGGTTAGTTGTAGTTTATACAGCTTTCACCAAAATTACAGAAGTTACAGCTTCAGAGAATGGCATACTTGATGAGAGAAGGCATATGCCATAGTTCGCTCCCGTTAAACGAATGCTTCTTCTCTATGATGTATTTTTGAGATTTGTTTCAGGACCACAAGACCATTCTGCCTGTCATTGATTAAAAAAGCATCAAAATATAGTATGACATAAAGAAATGCTACTTGAATACAGGAGGATCCTGAACCAGGATGAGTCTTGTCGATAATTCCACAGGCAGCTTGCAAAAATAGAACATAGAAGATCCATACATCATCACATAGCAAATCTTAAGGACTATTCATACCATTATTGACTCAATAGCATCAAATGAGTTTGCAATATACAGGAGTTGGAATCTCTATTCAATGAGTTGCTTATAAAGTAAAAATTCATATCAGGAAAGCTGATAATATACGAAATGCCGCTATAATACAGATATGTAAAGATGGCACCAAGAGATATGATCGGAAAAAAATAGAAACAATTTAAACAAGAGAAGTCAAGAAAATAGATTGATCATTGCAGTCAATGTTGTAGGCCATCACAGATTTAAACCTCAATGGTTTGTCTTGTGATTAACATTTAGATTGTTTTGTTGCACTTTAGTATAACAAATTATTAAAAAAAAGATTCGGTCAGAAAATGGATGGGTGACTTGGGCTTAACAGAAACTACTGTAGATGCTGCTACACCACACTATGCATGCCAAATGACCATTCCTACATGTTTCCAGGTGTCAAAACTTCTTTTACTCAAGTCTTGTCAAGCTTGTAACTTTTACTGACCATTATGTGAAAAACATGATACTTAATAAGGTCATGCTAATTGTCCACAGCCATAAGATTCTTACAATTGCATTCCTAGATGAATTCACATGTTTAAGCCTAATGGCCTTAACAAGCATGCTGTCAAGATCTTAGTCCATGCATGGTCTCATGAGCCAGGGCTGTTGATCTAACCTCTATTTTATGTAGTTTAGCCTCGAGCTTTAGTTGATCTAAGACAGCCTTCTGCTACCATAGAGAGCCGCCGTGTTCTTGTCTGAGCCTCTATGTTGCTCCATGAGTGAAGATAATTTAATGTTGTTGTAGCTTGCTTTTTGACCGAATTATTTAGGGTTTGAGCCTGTAACCTCACAGTACCTTTCAATCTTCGTAATTGTTTTCTAGCCTGCATCATGCGAAAAGAAATTATTAAATAATTCTACCAACTCCATGGTGAGCCGTGAGCATATATCTTACCTGCAAGTGGATTAAAAGGAGAAAAAAAAAAACCTAAACTACTTCCATTGTCAACTTATTAACAAATTCAGAAACAGGAGAGGCAGTTGGACACATGTTCATGATGTCAATTAATTATCACATACCATGTGCCGACATTGCTTCTATTCTAGAAAGAGTTTCACATATTCATTTTAAAGAGACTAGAGATTTGATGATTCAATTAACTACGAATTATGCATTAACAAGAAGAATCCAGTTAAATATGTTGGAGCTAGAGGGTTGAAATACAAGAAGTTTCTATCATTGAGGCATGAGCATCATATAAGTTTTCACCAATTATGATCTTATATATAGAACTTCAAAATCAGCATACTCTATTGGCCCTGAATGCAATTTGAATCCGTGTTGCTGCTATCCTCAATTGGCATGCCAAGAGGATTGGAATTTCTGCTAATTAAACTTGTTCTAGTGGATGCCTTTCACTTGTGTTTCTTCCATTTGAAGCCATTGGATTTTGTAGAAGCTGAAGATCCATGTGGGATGAACCTAGGCGGGGGCGGTTGGCCCCACCCTTAAAAATTTAACATTATCATATATTTTAGATTTGTTTTGTGTATATTCTATTGAAAATATATTTTCGCCTCCTAAAATTTCATAAGTTCAAGTTTGACCCCCTAACATGATCTTGTGTCCGTCTCTGCCTGTGCCGAACAGATAGACCAATTAAAAGGTCACCTCAATATAGGGAACAAATGAATGATAAATTGCATATGGCAAATGGTATCAAGGAAGGGAGTAAATGAATAATGAGCAATGACACTCAGTTGTAAAAGCTTTTTAAAAAAGACCATTCTAGTGGGAGAAACAATCTTCCAAAAGGTTTAGATCACGCATAATATAAGCCCTAAGGATTTAAATTGAAAACTAATAATTTATGGAATTGCATTGCTTAGTTTATGATTAAGTAAGCTTTTGGAAGTTGACCTTTACTTGCCTAAAGCAGTCATCTTTCGCTCTATTTATTATTGTCTTCAACAGGTTTCCAAACCCATTGCTGATGGTATGTATCAAAAACCCAGCTTAGCATCAACCTGACAGTATTTTCCAGTGCAAATAGAATCAGAAACAGAGGCAGGAATAAATTGGAACACAAAAAATTCAGTTTCTTAAAAGAACATGAAACGAAATTTTCAAAAAAAAAAAAAAAATTGAATTTCATGCTATGAACCTGATTATATTTGAGAATGGGGACATTTATTCGTGGAAAGCAACCAGTAGTTACTGAACGGCAAGCTTTTCCACAAATGAACATCCTGGCAATTATCGAAGTTAGCCCACCTATCCTCTACCTGAAAATTGCAGCAGCTACATAAACCCAATAATATCATCAACAAAATATTTGATTTTCAGATGATAAGTTAGCTTCTAAATTTTTACTCAACAAGATTCCAGAGTCCCTCTCAATCACGGGGCATCCCCAAACAACCCTTTGCTAAATTTGTAATTTACCCTTCCCTTTATTATAAAGTCAAGCAAACAAAACAAGAAGCAATAAGAAGGGAGATCAAAGGGAAATGTGGTGACAACATACAGTACGAGGTAAAGAAGAAGGAAAGCCTGAAATCAAAGAAAAGTATGATGACAACATACCTTTAAGGTTGGTATGGAATGCACATTATCATGCCCCATTTACCAGCTTTTTCCTCTCTCTTGTTATGTATGTATTCTGTTTATTTCAGTTTTTGGCTCACAGAGAATTAAAAGCTGGTCTAATGGGAAAAAAATTCATATTCAAAATATTATTTTTTATTAATTTCTTTTATTAAAAAAAATTCTTAAAATTTCTGCTTAAAATATGAAAAATTTAAAAACCTTCCTGTTATAAAATAAAAAAGTATAAATATAATAGTAATCCCGAAAAGCTCAAAGTGTCTATTAATTCGTTGAATACAAATAAAAGGTAGTTTGGTATTTACTTTGAAACATCACTCAAAATATAAAACATCATTAGAAGATGGTATGGTTGTATCATGACGTCATGCACCATATCCAAAACGTGCGATATCATATTGCAGACGAATTTATTTTAGGGTAAACTATACAGGTGACCACTCAATTATGGAAAAACTCATTCTGACCACCGATATTTCAATTTGATCAAACAGACCATTAAACTATTTAAATATCTCAATCAAGCCACTGACCGTTAACTTTTAACAGTGGAAGTGACATGACAGTTAAAATTTAACCGAGAGAATGACTTCTCAATTAATTTTTGGTGTAATTATATATTTGGTCCTTGTTACTTACACAAAATGTCAATTAGATCCTGATTTTAATTAAATTGAATAAATTTAATCCTCTAATTAAATTGCAACAAGTGTTAAATATATTTTATTTTCTATCTAAATATATTTAATAAGTTGGATAGAAAATAAAATATATATTTTTAAACTTAAGATATGAATTTAAACTAAGATATATAAAATGTTATAAATTTAGATTAAATTTTAGAAATCTGTATACAATATATATACCATCTGTTGTGAAGTATAAACTATTCAATACCCTAGCCTTAGTGGTCACCTGCCCAACATCCAAACTGCCCCTGGTTTTAATTCCCCCCAACTGTAAAATCTCTTTAATTTGTTTTCTTGTAATCAAAGGGTGACACGTGTCACCCTCTGGTTGGAGGAAACTAAATTTAATGAATTAAATAAATTATAAATAAATTTAACTGTCTAATTAAAGATTGACACGTGTTTCAATTTATTAGAGGATTAAATTCATTAAATGCAATTAAAATTAGGATCAAATTGACATTTTATGTAAGTAATAAGGACAAAATATATAATTACACCAAAATATTAACTGAGACGTCATTCTCTCGGTTAAATTTTAACTGCCATGTCACTTCTACCGTTAAAAGTTAACGACCAGTGGCTTGATTGAAGCATTTAAATAGTTTGACAGTATGTTTTATCAAATTGAAAAATCGGTGGTTAAAATGATTTTTGGCCATAGTTGAGTGGTCAACCGTGTAGTTTACCCTTTATTTTATCATACACAATGTAGTAAATTTACATCAGTGAGAAATGTAATTCAGACACGTATGTGCTCTAATTCTGAATCATTAAATCTATTTTTTACAAAGGATTTCAGTCACATAAAATTCTTAATAATTGCGTTGCATTAAATTTAGATGTGGCCAAGCATTTAATGGACCACTTCACCCACACATGCAAAGAAATATATCATCTTAGTTATATTAAAATTAACAAAATCAAATATCAGTCTTGAATCATTGAATCAACCACAGGACGACTAGCCATAAATAACTTGGTGTATGTTTTTTCAGTTGGGTGAATTGAATCAAAAAATACATATTTGGACGCATCGAAGCACACAAATGATTTCGGGTTGCACAAAAATCCTGCTTCTAAGAAACCACTTCCACAGCATCCATAGCTAACCTCGTCAAAATCTACAGAGAATCAGAGGGAAAAGGAAGGGAAAAAACAGATGAGAAATTATAAGATTGTGCTTACCACTGTTTTTATAAGAAAAACTAGAAGATAATGCTTACCATGTTTTCCAAGGCCTTGAATCATATCAACCAATGGTGTGAAAATGTCGATATAAGCGATCTTTGCACCGAGATGAGCTAATCTACTCTTCATGGAATTGAGCTCATTTTGGAGCATTTGGTTATATTCCATGGCAGCCCGAGAAAACTTTTCAATGCAACCACGATCAAGGATGGCGTTTTTGGAATTGAGGGTGATGACGGCCGGCAAACAGCCCATTGGGGGCAGTCCTGTAACCGTGATTCTCCGAGCTCCTTCATCCCATAAATCCTGCGATAAAACAGATACTAATAAATTAGTCAAAGCTTCAGAGTTCCGTGGCTTGAAGAGTAGTAGTACTGCATGCCGTTCTATATTTAGATGCCTTCTTAAAGATTGTCCCCCAAGTGTGTGCCCAGCAAAGTTGATTGCAATAAGTTTCGACCCTTGGATTCCTTTCGACCCTTTCTATAGGACATGTTGGTTCGGGGTCAAGTCCCGGTAATCGTACAGACTTAACTAGTTTTAAATTATGCAACAAATATATGTACTGATGTAGCGTAATTCATAGTCGAATTGCTAACTTTTGATGCAAAAAGCAGAGTACACATCTTTGTTCTCTGTACTTTACAAAAAAAGATAAAATTATCATCCTTTTTTAATAATTGGAAAAAAACTGTTAATTGTAGTTTAAATCGATGTTACATTTAATCCAAGAGGTAAACCTGCACTACTTAAGCCAAACCTGCAGGACTTGCTTCAAATTTTGCAAGATGAACTGTTGATAAGCTGAAGCAGTATAGTTCTTTCGTCGAATTGGTAAGGTGAAATAGTTTACAACGAAGTCATTAGTGCCACAACTGACGAGAAACACAGCTTCTTTGACAATAGCTTCCATTCTTTTCTGTCCAATGGCAGATTGCAGTCGTTTCTTATACTCTTTAAAATACTCCAGCTGCTTTGGTAATGATATCACGCTCTGAGATTCAACATATTAACAGTTAAACCTAATTCGCTTTTCACGTTATATATGGATACTTATTTGAAAATGAACAATAAAAATTTTAACTTAAAAAGAATTAAGAAACCATCTGTGTCTCTTTATGTGCCTCAAATAATATAAAAATACAAGTACCAGATGGAGACACATGATGGTTTCAACTTTACTCGTGTATTTCAAAAACTATACCGTTAGTGTGTGTATATATACTGTGGTGAATCCAGAAATATTTTTTTAGAGTGTGTACACATGTATTATTTACATAAAATTTTTATACATGTGGGCACAGCTAAAATTTTAGGGTAGGGCTGACACAACTATTAAAAGATGTAACTACGGAAGAAAATTCAAATTTCAGGGTCGGCACAATCTTTAATGGATCCGTCACTATATATATATCAAAGAGAGAAAAGGAAAGGGAGAGATGCCAACAGATATCTGTGCTGTAAGTGGATCAAATCCAGTGCCGGCGGAGGCGAAGCTAACTCCTGTCATCAGCTCCTCAATGCTAAGGTTGGGATCCAAATATGGTGGCAAATATTCCTTTATGCCTATATATGAAACTGCCCATATGCACCAAACCAGAGCAAGCTATAAACGAACTCACATTCATTTGCAACATATAATGTTTTTAGTTTCATTTGAATGAATAATTATACAGCCTACCAACGAGATCGGTGGTGAGCTTCCCGTTAGTGAACCTTCCGGTCGGAGTTTGGCCTTTAAAATCCATTCCATAAGGAGGGAAATCGCTCCTAAAGAGGGTCCCCACATAGTTGTTGTTCCCAGGATCCACCGTCGAATCTCCAAAAACAAAACCAGCCGTGATCTTGTTGTTGAAGGGCCTTGGAAGTATCAAAGCTTCAGCACTAGCACCGAAAAGCAATGACATGCAGACATAGAGAAGAGTAACAAAAGGAAGAGAATATGCATGATAAAATTTCATGTGATCTGCTTGTCTTGATTGTGGGAAGTGAGCAATACGTGGACTGATTTATGGCACTTGAACGTATGGGATCAGCTTATTTTTATAGACTCCCATTAGTGAGTGTCATTCTTTTGACTGTCGTAAAAATGAAAGTGGGTCATGCTCAAACCACCTGTGACGTTTCTCGACAAAAACATCCTAGTTAACGTGAAGTGTGCTTCATCACTGTTTCCATGTTAGTTTGGTAGCTGTAGCTTGGAAACCTAACGTTTCCTAATTAGTCCAGAGCTTCTCAACAACCAAGTTATACAGAGCAAGTATCACCAAAATAAATTTGCCAGAGGCTTTTTCCATTTCGGGAATCAGTATCCTTTGACAAATTTTGCTTTGGTAACTTAGCCGGTGAACGTCGTACTAAACATTAATTGTATTTTACAAACAATTATAATAAAGATGTGGAGTCACTTAGTAGGAGGAAGATGAAAAAAGGTTGATATTTGGTGAGGATGAAGATCCATTAACATAATAAGATGTTTCCTTATGCAGTGAGCTATGGGGAGGGCCATGGCTGGTGCCTCCTGAGCAGATTCCTGTATATTTTAAGCTGTTTCCATAGGCATTCATCCCCAAAAATAACAAAGTTATAAATAATAATATTTGGACAGATTGCTAAGTTTTCAAGCCAATCCGATTGACAACGTATTTACATAATAGCTTGTGGACCACTGTGAAGTGTATCCACCCTGCGGTTGAAGCAAATGCCACTCACATCACATGGGAAGCATAATTTAGTGGGAGAAATTAATGCGGGTGTTGCAACTTTTCTTTCAATATCTATTTTCATAAAAAAATGACAATGTAAACGAGAAACTAAGGCTTAAAAACTTATAATTTTGATTTTAAATATATTATATGGATTCATAATTGAATTGTTAAATTTTAAAAATAAACAAATAAATTATAGTACTGATTTTTAAACCAAAACACCTGTAAATACTTGGGTACAATTCAAAATTGAAAGAGATCTTAATGTCATCATAAAAAGAGTCGGCATGAATTAGTTTTTTTTCGACAAGGTCAAACACCACGGCCCCTTCAAGTCAATCCCAAAACCCATACAAACTGCAAACCGAAACATAGAACAAGATTAAGCAAACACCATAAATAAACTACTATCACTAAGCCTGGGTGAAGTAGTATAATTAAAACTCATGAATTAGTTATTTAATTAAAGTTTATGTACAATCTTATTCTATTTTTAAAATAAATAACAATATTAATATAAAAGAGCTAAGAAAAGTTATAATAATCACCATCTAAGGTTGGCCTCAACCACCAATTTACTTTAAAGCTGACCTAATTCTTAATTAGTAGCCACGAAAACAGATAAGCAAACAATAGAATTTTATTTCTCTATCATTTTATTGATAAAATTGAAGGTTTGAATAATAAATTATATTTTATTTTATGAAAATTTTAAAACAGTATATACTATGCTCAAAATGGTTAAATAATGAATGAAAAATTATTACTCAAAATGAGATACTTAGGAATGTTATTGACAAAAGTTCGAAATGAGAAGCCTATAAGAGTTTGAAAGATGTTTATAAGTAAAACCCAACTTGATAGTTATTGAATGTGTTAAATGACTTTGTATCGTCTAAAGCCCAAAGAGATGTAATTTGGTATGAAAACATCATAACCTCAACTTGGATTAGAGGTGCACTCGCATGATGTGAGTGACACGAAATATTTGGTAGATTGAAAATTTTCTCAATATAATAAATTTTTTCTATATGGTAATGATTTTTTTAAAAGAATTATTATTTTAAAGGATAAACTACACCTCGTATCACTCAATTATTAATTTGATTATAAACATATTTTTTAAAATTTTATAATTTATTCACACAATTAAAATATTATTACAAATGGGTCATAGGATGTTAAATATTATATGAAATAGTAGCATGATATGGTTTTTAATCCCCAAAATTTATACATTCTATTAATTTGATCCTAATTCCAAATAATTCAATAAATTTAATCATTGATATTTAAAATATTATATCAATTTAATATTGGTTTTGATCTTAAATCGCTTGTTCTTCTCCCATAAATGTTCTATTACTTTCTCGTTACTTTCTTGGTATAGTAACAGTTTAATGATAACTTATTATTTTATGATAGAATGCAATTATCCAATAGATGTATTCATTTTGTTTAAAAGTGTTACAAAAAGATTAAATTGATAAAAAAAATTAAATATAAAAGTTTAAGTTTATTGAATCATTTTAAATTAGAATTAAATTAGTAGGATATAGATTTTATGAACTAAAATTTTATTATGCCATATTACGTTAGATGTTTGTTTCAATTTTAATAATTTAGTGGTATATTTGTAAGAATGTTTTAATTAAGTGACAAAATTATAACTTTTCAGAAAAGTGACATTTATATTCGAACTAATGAATAACATGAAACGTATTTTTGTATATTGTAAAAGAGTTGTACCATGGAGCAAAAGTCAAATTGTGTGAATGGCGCCTGAACCCATTAATCAACTCTGTTGATTTATCTATGAAGCTTTCTTCCGAGTTCATTGAATCCTACCCGCCGCATGTCACTCTCCCATCTTTCTTTGGTTTTAATTAACACTTTAATCCTCCCCACAAACTACCTGTCAAGTATATCTTTGAAGAAATATGTTTTTTTAATTAAGCTAAGGTAATAATATTAATTTTGTAGTCGTTGGTGCTTAAACCCGTGACATTTAAGAATAACAACGAATTCCTTTAATTATTGAGATAAGTTGATTCGTGCGTAAAGAAACACGTTAAATAATAATAATGACGGGATAAAATAAAATTGCAAAGTCAATTGTTGAACAGTATAAAAGTCGATTGATTCCTCATCCCCTGCTTTTGTTGGTTCTTGATCACGGATTATAGGAAGGAGAAAGTGCAGGTATCTCTATAACTTAAAGTCGCCAAATGATTAAACCAACCGCATGAGCCTTACAACACACAGCTCCACTTACTTGTTTATTGTTTGATTTCTAAATCCTTCCCATGAATTAAGAGCCTCAGTCGCTTAGAGACCAAGTTTCCAACTGGAATTTGTTAATGGAGTAGGATCAAGGTTGAACTTATGCGTATTTATAGCTTTTATACATTCCTCATTCCTCAAAACCCTATTATTTGTGGATAGCTAACCAAGATAGCTGTAGAAAGCAGTCACCACGCAGCAGCTGATCAGTCATTACTAGAGAATGTGTGGGCCAACTTCATCAGTGGAGACGAAGCCGATAGAGCAACAAAATCATGGGGAAAATTGCCTAGGTTGGATGGGAAAGACGGGTCCATGGAAATTTTACAAAGGCTACCAAGTCTTGGGAGGTGGATATCAATGGGGGCTGACGCCTGGGAGGATCTTCTCCGTGGAATTATTCCTCCAGGGAATACAGACCAATCATGCAACTATGTTACCTGTAAAGAGATAAGCACTCGAGGGCTTAAAGTGAATTCGATGAGAGTAGAGAAACCGACAACGAGACACTACTGGGGAGTGAGAAGGCGACCTTGGTGCAAGTATGCAGCAGAGATAAGGGACTCGTCGAGGAAAGGAGCTCGAGTTTGGCTTGGGACATTTGATACAGCTGAGGAATCAGCTATGGCTTATGACAAGGCTGCTTTGAGAATTAGAGGCCCCAAGGCATATCTTAGCTTCCCAATTGAGACAGTATCTAAGGTTATGGGGATCGACCAAACAAAAACTAACTTCGACTGTTGTTTGCCTGCAACTAATTATCAAGGCAACGACTCTGCTAGCGCAGATCTCGGCGGTGGCAAGAATTTCACTAGACATCGTAAAAGAGAGTCTAGCAATGGGGAGCAAAACAGTGAGCTTGTGATGGTTGAACAACCTAATCTAAGGAGAATTGCAAGTATTGAAGAGGATGGATACGATGTATTTGAGTTTAAGGATCTGGGGAGCGATTATTGGGAGAGTTTGTTGTCATCTTTTTGACATAAGAGAATCTAAAGGGATACGAGATTTGAAAGATTACAGGTGTAAATGGAGATTGGTTGATTCATATGCATAATACTAGCTTAATTGTACACAATTGTTTGTTGTTAGGATTGTGAGTACTGGAAGTATAGATTTTTATCAATATAAACTTATATACCGTTATATATTTGATTACATATATATGGTAGAAATTTCTACTTTATATATTTTATTTTTGTTAAATATTTTGATTGAAAAAGAGAAATAGAGAAATTCTATGTTTTTTTTTTGTTGAGAAAATGAATTAGGGCTACTTTATGGTTGTATAAGAATTGAAAAAGTAAATTTCTAAATGTACACAATATTGAGATGATTATTTGATTTTTTTTAAAAAAATTGGAGTGGAGAAAGGATTGTGAGAATCTATGAAGCATGGAGATGGAAAAGGAACCCCGTTTCAAGTACTCACTACGTTTCCTGCACGAGAACGACTAGTAAGTACTAGGGACGTACTAGGATTGTGAGAATCTATGAAGCATGGGTATGTATTAGGGACATGCCCGATAGTAGAGTATGGTTGAATGAAATCGGGGATATTCGATACTCACCTGGGGATGTTTTAAGGACTATTGTGGCACTGCCAACGGAGACGTTGCGGCGAATAGAGACGACGCAGGGATGAGTAGATGAACGACAACTAAGTTTTGTGTAAAGAAAGAAAAGGAAGAAGAAACAGGAATTGGCCGAGCCCCGGGGGAGAGAAGAGTGAGAATATGATTTAAAGACTTTTTGGTTTAATTGTCGTTGATCCCTGAGCTTTCTAGGGTTTTCTTATCTGGCAACAAGTTTGTAGTATTTTCAAATTGGCCACCAAAATTAATTTAGGGATTTAGAAAAAAATTCCCGAATGTTAGGATTTTTAATTAGATTTAAATTAGGGTGTTACACGAATTTTCTATGAAGTATTGACTTTATTTATGATTTTTTACATCTATTTATAATTTTAAATTCTCTTCTCCTAAAACTTCAATGACAGTAATTCTCTTCTCTAACGACTCTGTTTCTTAACAAAATTAACGCATGAATCTTGATTTCACTTCTTCAAGGTAGTTTTCACTCTTTTTATATTTGCAAAGAGTTTACCCTTTGATACATCCATCGAGCACCAATAAGCTTCCTTGACATTGTTACTTTGAGATTGTATTTGACTTCTCAATCTGTAATTCATGGAAATTAGATGAATTGATAAATAAACGTGAAATATGTGTTGATATAATTTAGGAAACTAGCATCATTTCATTTGTAATAGGATCATAAGAGATGGTTATGATCTTTTACAAAGTTTGAGAAGTATGCATGTCCATGTGGTATCTATATTTTATTATGAGAGAAGATGTGTTGTTGTTAATGAATGTGAAGTTGCACACGTATATAAGCTGAGATTGATGTAATGTATGTGCGGTGTTGATGGATAGTGAACTTTTAGAGGAAGTTAACGTGGAAATTGCGGGTGTGGGATCAGATCCTAGGCTAAGCACAATTGGTGTTAATTTTTTAATTAATAAAAAAAGTGAAAATTGCACTATAAGTTTTAACATGATTTTGGCATGTATTAAAGTTATCTTTATACTATATTTGCCTCACTTTAAATGTTCATTATTTATTTTATTTTTTTTCAATTTTTAACTATAACTCTTTATTATTTAAAAATTTATTATTAATATAATTATAAAAAATATTTAAAAATCTTCAATCAAGTAGTTTTAAATATATATTTTATAAAATTTAATTTTTAATATGTTATAAATAATTATAGTAAAAATTTAAAAAAAATTGACTTTTAAAAAGTCAATAAAAGATAATTTTAATGGGATCGAGGGAATATTTTTTTTATGTTCTCGCATCACAGTTATCTATTTTGAGATCGTGAAAATGATAGTCATTTCCTATTAAAGTGAAAATTTGTTGTAGTGTTTTAACTAAAAATGAGAAATGTGACAAGGGAAAGAAGCTAATTTTATTTGAGAAAAAAATGTTGAGATTTTATACCTATATAAAAGGTTTAAGGCATTGGTTTTTAAAATAAGTGCAAATTATTTTAGTACCATATATAAATACGGCTCGGTCCATTAGGAGTGATAAATTGTTTTGGTGGATGACTTTTATATATTGTTTTTTTACAATAAAACGACTACGTTTTATAGTCTACTATCTTAGAAATTCAATCTTGTTGATATTTATTTGAAGAATAGGAACAAGTTTCTCTGAGGGTTTTTTTTCAGATTGTGCGTCTCCTCACTTCTTTCTAGAGTCAATTTAACCAGTCAGTTAGCACATCAATTTCTTTTTCTCCAAGTATGTTTGATTTCAGTTATCCATCTTTTCTTCTTGATTCTTTCGTAATCTTTTAAGGTAACTTTCTTTTGTAGGCCTTCATCCTTGTTCAGTGCTTCAATTATACATTTAGCGTCCGCTTCGAGGAGCTTAAGTGGGTTGCATGTAATCATTGTTGTTCTTTAGTTCTTTTTCTATGCTTATGTCAAAGAATCAGAAAATTCCACATCCATGACATGAAAGACTACAAACTATTTCTTGTTACTCGGTTGTCTCGTCTGCAAATGCATCACTTTCTATTATTGAAAACAAACATCAGAATCCTTGGACAATCACAAGAATCTTCTCTTCAAATTATTGGACAAGTATTTTAGATTAAGGGTAGACTCTCCATTGATTTTCAAAGCTAAACTTAAAATTAAGGGTAAACTACATAAATGACCACTTAACTATGGGTTGGGTCGTGAAATGACCATTATTTTCCAATTTGCGTCAATATGACCACTTAGCTATTTAACTGGTTTCAATGTAGTCACATGTCGTTATCACTTAACGGAAGTGTCTACGTGGCAATTAACAAAATTGGTATAATTAGGGCACGAGTCCTTGTAAAGTTACGTATTCATGACGATGGAACCCTGCTTTATTTTTTAACACCCCAAAGTTTGGGTTAGTAGTTTCGGGTTTACCCAAGAGGTAAATGAATCCCGTGAAATTTATATTTTAAGCTGTCAGGCCGAATTGGATTTAATTGGGTTGATTTGGGAGCCCAATTAGCCAAAAATGAGATTTTTAATTAGTAGAAAAATGAGAAATGACCAAATGAATTATTTCCCCATTTTCAAAAGACGAGCCTTATATTATTTCACTTTCTTCTCCTTTTCATTTTCTCTCATTTTCCTTCTCATTCTCCCTCTTTAAAAGGCCAAGTTAAAGTTAAAGAAAAAAGTGAGTTTTCACCAAAATCACCAATGAGAGGAGTTTGGCTAAGCAAGGGCCTTCAGTTCGGGTTTCTAAAACCAAGGTAGTGTATTTCTAATCCTTTGGAGTGTTAAGATTATCATAAGTATAAAGGGTTACTATGATTTGTGAATTTAAGCATTTTAGGGTTTATATTTAATATCAATATCAAATGATGTTTTAGGGGTTTAGAAGACATTTTTATGCTACTTTAATACCCTAGTTGTTGAGTTAATCGATTGACAGAATCGGCCAAGAGGGGATGAATTGGCAATTAAAGTTTTGTGGAAGCTTTTGCAAAAAATTGAAAGTAATTGCACAGCGATTTAGAGTGGTTCGACTTTCTCAATCAAAGTCTACGTCCACTACCTTAGCTATCCACACTAAGGATTTTCCAACAAATTCACTAATTTGTTCTTTCTTTTGAGGCCAAAGATATAACCTTACAACACCCTCAAGAATATACCCCAATTCTTGAGAACACTCTTTCCCAAAGAGAAGATTACAAATTTGCAAACTTACAAGGAAATCCTCACAAGGTAGATTGCTTGCACAATTCTAGAACAAAGAAAAGAACACTCAAGAATGAATACAATTGAGTACAAGTAGTGTTCTTGAAAGCAAAATGAACATTGAATGAAAAATAGGCTAAAAATGCACAAACTTGAGGTTTGATGCTTTCTCTTTAATTCTCTCTTGATTCTAGTTGCTTGATGTTTCTTGTTGTTGATCAATGGCTTCTAAGCTTGTTTAAATACACCTTGAATCACTTCTGAACGTTGGAGATCATTAATGAAGTTATTGGAGCCGTTTAAGTGTGAAAATAATTAATATTTCTGCTTGGAGCGTGGGGGGAATCGGTACCCCTCATGGGGAATCGGTTCCCTAAGTGTAAAATTCAAATATTCGACCGTTGAACAGTGGGGGGGAATCGATACCCCCTGGGGGAATCGGTTCCCTCCGAGCACACTGTTATTTCTCGGAGCAAAACCATTCAGGGGGAATCGGTACCCCCTTGGGGGGAATCGGTTCCCTCTAGACAAATTGTAATTTTTGGCTTTGAAACGGTTCGAAATACTTTGTAAAATTGTTTTGAAATTATTTTAAGATTAAAACTTAATTTTACGCTTTAGTAAAGATTTAAAATGAACTTTGAAATACTTTGAGTAATATTTTGATATTCGATTTTAATATATCGAATATGCTTAGAAAAGTCATTTTCAAAATTAAAATTCTTTTAATTTAATTTGTTATATCAAAACATCAAAATGTTTTCAACAATCTCCCCCTTTTTGATATAACAAAACATTTTAAGATTTTCTAATTTGAAAATGAATTTTGATTTTGAAAAATACTACTCCCCCTTACTTTAACACTTTCTCCCCCTTTTTGTTAAATCAAAAAGACCCTATAAAAAACGTTTTAAACAAGAATTTTGAAAAACGTAAGCCAATTGATTTATTAATATAAAGCTTAAGCTGTTAAGATCACAATCAAAAGAGAGGTTAGCCATTAGTTTCATAATCAATATTCATAAACATGCAATGGATAATTGGTCATATATGTCTAAAGTTGCAAAATAAACACGAAATCCAAATCAAATGTATTAAACATAAGTTTGAACAACCAAAAATAAACAATCCAAAAGCATTGAAAATGTTTTAATAATAATGCAAATATCCAAGTTCAATCCAAACAAGCAAAGCAAAGATCAATGTTCAAGCATCCGTAGGAGGATCGGGAGGAGGGAAATGAGCTCGCATAGCTACCATTTCATGAGTGAGTGC